CTCTGCTGCAACGACTTGTAGGTAGCTGTGCCCCAAAGCAGTTGACACAACTCCTGTGTCCAAATAAGACCAGAGCTATAACAACACAATGGTGCTTATTTACCATTCCAATATGAGAAAAGAGATTTTTTTTAAAGAAAATCCAAGCCAAATCAGCCAAATCCATTCCAAATCCATGAGTCAGTCCAGAACCATAAGTGGCCCTACAACTGGCAAACACCCTCCACCCCTGCCAAGGGCTTCAAATATTTCCAAAGTCTTTTCGTGGGCATCCTACGTGCAGGCCCAAGCCCGGAGACTTGGGGTTTAGATGCCCCCAAGTTTTGCCTTCCCTCAGCTGTATGGCCACAGAAGCAAGCTAGGGAAGAGCCTCCCATTTCCATAAAATGGGTTTTAAGCCCCAACACCTCGGTGGGTACTAAGCCATGCTAGAACAGTTATCCCCAGGAATGCTTAAGAAAACTGCCTTCATGGACCAACATACATGGTGTTTCCAAAGAGATAAGTTTTCTAGGTAAGAGCCCATTGAAGTTGCTCCAGCTCTGACCATTTCAGATACAGAGGTACACACTTCTGAGGGAGGGGGAAGTCTTTGGGGTGAGGGGGTGGCCTGTTTTAGAGACCTGTCCCCATTTCCCTTAACTCCTACCAGCCCCTGGGCTCAGTGCCTGTGCTCATATACTTGCCTCAAGCTGTTGCCTTTGGCCAGGGGTTCAGGAAGCCTTGTAAAACCCCATCACTACCCAACATGCCCCAGACAGCTGAGTGTGTTGGAAGATCATGGGGTGACAGGGAAAGAAGAGATGCTTTGAAACCACAGGAATGGGCAACTTCACCAGCCAGCCATTGCAGGCAGGTCCCTCCTCCTGCCCCCTCCCATCAGTTGCCCCTTTTGCACCTTTTCTGACCCCCAGAGGTCAGAAGGCAGCATGCAATGCAGCTGCTTGGATTCCCTCATTAGGAATAGGATACAGTCTGCTATAATGAAGACCTTATTAGCAGTTGTCAGCATCAAGGTTTAATAGCCCCCCACCTTGAAATAACATTGTGAGGAAGTTGTAGGGCTGACAGTAAAAATAAACAGTACCTCTTTCTTTCTCATATAAGATTGGGTAAACTTTATGGCCTTCCAGTGCAGATGGTTTTCCCTTTATTTTCTCTTCCAGCCCTGGAATGGCATCAAACAACTAACCAGAACAGTCCTGACCAGTGGTTCTCAACCTTTTTAGACTCAGGGCCTCCCTTGGAAAATGGCAGCTTCTAATTTTCACTTGTTTCTTGACTACAGGAAATAACCATGCAATTCTTCTGTTGCCAAGAACTTAGAAGGACACCCCGGGTCAGAACTTTGTGACTCTGGATTCCCACTTGAGATCTCTGGGTCTATTTTGTGAACTGCAGGACCCCGGTTTAGAATCACTGTTCTACAATTAGGGCCCAGCTATCATTAGGGCCCGCGCGTTATGACTTTGGCATCTTCCTTGCTGGTAGATACGACCATCCTAAGTTAATTTCATTCTTCTAAATCTCGTGATGCACAGCGTGAGTCCATTATTATTTCTTTTTCTTATATCTTGCAATTCAGGAGAAGCCCCAACCTGGGTGTGATCTAGGATTTTGTAATTACGATTACAAGAGTGGGTTTCACATGTCTTAACATGATATTGAGGGACACAACCATTAAAACTGAAGCTATCTTTTTTTTCAGACTGTATGTTTTAGCATACAATTGCTTGGCAATCAACTTCTTCACCCCTTTCACACCTACAGCATCCCAACGCAAAAACCTGTTGTGCAGCTGACTTCAGATTTCCCATAGGCATATTCAACAGACACCAAGATCTGATTGTCTGGTTTTCAGGCTGACCTAATTACTTTTGGATTGAACCTCAGGGGATTTATGCAGTGTAACCAATAAACATTTACAGACACTCTCCTGGAGATCAAATTAAATAAATAGATTTTACTTGTGTCCTCTCTAAATAAAAGAGTAGGACACTTATTTCTACTTTGTTCCTCCTCATGCACTGTAATAAAATCACAAACAACCATCCTGATTCAATGCCTATAGGCCAGGTTAAAATGCTGAATTCTGAACAGAACAATATAAACACTGAGAGAAAAGGTTCATACCAGGAAAATGGTATATTTATATATATCAAACCCTATTACAGAACAAACCATAGGTTGTAAGAATAGCCCAAATTAAGTGACTTCATTAAAGTGAATAAAAAGAGGGAGAGAAAAAAGGTGTGACCCAAATCATCCAGGAGATCGAGATGCTTCTGGTTGTAGGTTGGTTGTAAGATGCCTTTGTGGATTTGTAAATGTAATATTTTAAGTAAAATGTACATGTTTTAAGTAAAATGGAAGGCACAAAGATGTTCTCGAGTGTGTGTATAGGGATGGGGAGGACACAGTAAATGGAAATCTTAGCACTGAATGGACGTGTGGATCAGTATAAATATGACCCTCAGAGGTTGACGGTGCTGGGACTATGGTGGGATTGTTTCTTCCCATAGAGGATTTTCTAGGCCTGAAGGAGACCAGGCTCCATGAGTGGGGCTTACTGTACTTCTACTCGGTGTGGTCAGGGCTGGCTTTTAGGACATGAATGTCTAGTCAGTGGAGATCCTGGAGTCTCCGCTGTTGGTGACAGGTTTGAAAGGAAAAGTCACTCCTGCACCAGCTGGATCTGTTGGCTTCCTCAGTCTGCAGACAGAGCTCAAGCAAGTGAGCCTTAGGGTGGGAGGCCTTCTCACCCCTTCTCGATTGCCCAGTGCCGGCAAACTTCCATAGCTCCAAATCATGGGCACTTCCTATTGACTTGTTGCTGGAGCCAGCCTCTGACCTTGCGTGGAATCCAGTCAGAGCTGTCATCTGTCAAGCACATCCAGTTCACACCACTCTGCATCTCATGCCTACGTCATAAATGGCCACGCTGGGGTTCTGTGCCTTTCCAGCTGCTTTCACCAATGCAACGTCCCCTAGAATGTGCTTCCCTGCATCCACCTGCTTCCTTGAGCTGCTGGTCTCAGCTATGTGGCTTCTGGGTCATCCCTACCACAAGGAACAGCTCCAGGTGAGGGCTGGACCTGTCTGAAATAAGGGCTGGAACCTGTCTGCGGAGCACTTTTTTGAGTCCTTTGACTTTTATGCACTACTTTTGCAGAGTAGAAATGTACCTTATTGACTAACTGAATCAGAGATGCATAAGCTTTTGTGAACAAGAACTTAGCTCATCAGATGCTGTGATAGGATATGCACAGAACAGGCTATCACAAAGAGAGAGGGTGATTTGAATACAAAAGATAGGGAAGAGGCAAAAACAGTTCAATGCTGAGAGAGGCAAACAAGTAAGAAATCCACCAGGAAAAAAGGGGTCACAAAATCTAATCCAGGTAATGGGATAAGAAAGACCATGGGATATTATAGATAGCTCACCTGGAAACCCGCCAACCACCACAGCTACCTTCATGCCACCAGCTCTCATCTTAAACATATCATTAGATCTACCATCTACAGCCAAACTCTGTTACAACTGTATCTTCTATGATCCCTTCAGTTGAGATGCACACCTTGTCTGGAGCATGGATTCATACACTTCAATACAATCACAAAACCATAGCCACTCAAATCAACAAAGCCAGACTCAGCCCCTACTTTGACCTGCTACAATACCAGTCCCCTAGACAAAGACAACAGAATCCCTCTGGTTGTCACCTACGGCCCCCACCTGAAAGCCTTGGACATATCATCAATAACCTGAATCTCCAACTGCTCCTGGAAAAGGATGACCATCTTAAGGTAGCCATGAGAAACAAACTTGTCCTGGCTTACAAACAGCCCCAAACACAAATGATGTCTCTCAAACAACAGGCTACTAACTCCTATTCTCACCAAGGCACCAGGCTTTGTAATGGACCCAGATGCAAGCTGTGCCCCCTGATCACTACAAACCATATCATCATTGGGCCAAGGTCACAGTTTAAATCATCTGAGGGTCATTCAACTGCACCTCTACCAGCATCATATACACCCTCACCTCCTTACAGTGCCCCTCTGCTGCTTACATTGGCCAGACAGGGTGAACCAAATATGAAAGAATGAGGGGGCACTTATTTGATATCAAGTCCAAAATCGCATAAACTTTCATAGCAGAATACTTGAACCTTCCTGGACAGTCCATTGCTGACCTCTTGCTGGCTGCTCCTATACAGTGAAAATTAAAAGCAAACTTCAACACAAAATTGCCCAAAAAAAGAAATCATCCACAGACTAGATTGTGTTAAATATGGTCTAAACAGGAATTAGGGATTCTTATCCCATTATCTGGATTAGCTTTTGTGACCCCTTTGTCCCTGTGGGTTTAATTACTTGTTTGCCTCTCTCAGCACTGCCTTCCCACCCGCCTCTCCCCACCTTCTCTCTTCCTTGTCTTTTGTATACAAGTCACTGTTTCAATTTGATAGTCTGCTCTGTGCATGTCCTTTCACTGCTTCTAATGAAGTGAACTCTTGCTCACAAAAACGTATGTATCTCAGTTCGTGTATTAGGTGCATTAGGTGCTACCATGCCTTCTTCCTGACTTCAGACTAACATAGCTAACTATGTCTCTCTGCTCATAGATGTTAAGGGGTACTTGATGGCTTATGGGTGCATGGGGGAGAGAGGGGGGGCCTGGAGTGGATGTTCTTGTGGACTTTTGTTGCCTTAACATCTATTACAGCAGTTCCCAATCTTTCCAGGCAGGTAACCTTACTTCTGAGCTTACTTCCTATGTCAGAGGGCTGAATCTGATGGTCCTTTCTGCTCCTACGTTGTTGTTGAAAAAGTGTAAATCCTGGACCATGATTCTTTGTCTATGTCTTCAAGAAATGGAAGCAGAGCATGGGGGTACAATGCCAGTCCAGGGAAACAGAGCTCATGGGATTCTCTTTGTTCCCCCACCAAGTGGTCAGGAGGCACAAAAAGCCAGCTGCTCTATGGCAATGAACCCTTCATGGGAATCTCTTCTGCCCGGGGTCAGTAAGCCAGGAAGAGCTGGAAGCAGAGTCATCAGTCAGCTTGGGATCAACTCCTACCGGCTTTTGGACTGGTGCATGAAGATAATGGTGGGGTAATTTCTTTTTCAGGTGAGTTCTCCGGTGTTTTGTGAGGCCTGTACTGGACCTGAAGTCCTTCTCACACTCAGGGCATTGATAGGGTTTGTCTCCCGTGTGGAGTCTCCGATGGATGGTGAGGGTTGAGCTGGCCCGGAAGGTCTTCCCACAATAAGGGCACTTATAGGGTTTCTCCCCAGTGTGGATCCTTATATGTCGAACAAGGGTCGAGCGGTCCCTGAAGCATCTTCCACAGTGGGGGCATTCATAAGGCCTGTAGTCCTCATGAGTTCTCTTGTGCATGGCCAAGGCTGAGTGATCATTGTAGCTTTCCCCACAGTCAGGGCATGGACAAGATTTCTGTTCTCCATGTTTCTTCTGATGCTTGGTCAGAGATGAGTGTTCAAGGAAGACTTTCCCACACTCCAGGCACTGGTAGGGTAGTAGCCCCAGGTGGATCAACCGATGAATATCATAGGAGGAGCTGTCTGTGAAGCTTTTCCTGCAGTCAGGGCAACGGTGGATGCTTTCTGCCTTATGAATTTTAAGATGCTTTCTTAAGGACTTGTTTGACATGAAGCTCTTCCCGCAGTTGGAGCATACAAAGGGTCGCTCCCCAGAATGGATTCTCTGATGGACCACGAGGCTTGATTTGGAAGCGTAGCTTTTCTCACACTCAGGGCACTGATAGGGTTTCTCTCCCGTGTGGGTTCTCAGGTGTCTATTGAGGGAGGAGCCCCTGCTGAAGGTTTTCTCACACTCAGTGCACACATGTTTCTGCTGTCCTGGGTGCACCCCTTGCTGTGTCTTGACATTGAGGTTTTTGTGCTCTTTCCCATTAGCACCAGACTGGGGCAGTTTCTTTGCTGGATGGTTTTTCTGCTGCCTCTCTTTCCGGTGCTGTTTTGCACATGCCAGAGAGTCATCCCCTTTAGCTCTTCCCCATAATATCCCATGTGGCTCCAGCTGCTCAGGATCTTCTTTCTGGGGACTCTCCTCCTCATCCTCACTTGCTGTCCCATCACCTGCTGGGACAGAGAGAGCATCCAGAGGGAAATCATTCTCTATGCTAGAGAAGAGAGAACCTCAGAGGCAGGAATAGAGACAGAAGGAAAGAATAAGTGCTGGGGAGATGGAATAATCAGGCAATCATTTCCCACACCCTTCCAGAGGACAGAAAGGCTGGGAGCCATTCTGTCTCCACATCCCATGTGAAGAGCCAGAGCAAGGAGTCAGTCAGGATTGGAGGGGACCCACAACATTGGCTGGGCACAATCCTGACCTGGCTGTGATGAGGTTGAACTGGGGGAGCTCAGTTTGTAGTAATTCCAGTATGTTTTTATTGTTGATCCCAGTTTCAGGAGTCGTCCAATGGGTTCCTCATCACCGCTTTCTTCAGAACTGTGGATGTCTGGCACCCAGGCCTCTTCCCCTCGCTCCAGTTGTGCAAGGAATTCAGCTGTGTAAGTTGGAAACTCTGCGCAGGGCAAAGAAACAGGTGAGTTCACAGTGGATTGCAGACTCGGGGGAAATGTGCTAAGGAGACTGTTCCAGCCACTTCAGCCTCAGTCCACTTGAAAGCAGCAAAACCCCAAGGCAGGCTCTCTAGATGCTCAAAACCACCAGGCATTCTACTGATGGAGGACTTAATTCTCCACATCTGTGCTGGGAGCACACACAGCCAGATACCCAGCATCAAAGAGGTTCTTAAAATATTAAGCCAGCAGCTCCATGTCCCAGGGGAACGAGATGCCAACCAGAAGGGGAGATGCTCTGCATTCACTGTTTAAGAAGAGAGAGGAGTGAAGTAAAGTCAGGAATCACAGGGAAGCTCAAGAGTGAATGAGCACAGTCTGTCCTGAGTAGCTTATTTCACTTAAGGCTAGGCTCAAGGAGGGAGCGTATCAAGCAGTGGAGTAGGAGGTAACAAGAAGTACAGGGGCTAACCATAGCACTTCCTGAAGGGAACTGAGTGGGTGAGCATGTGTGGGTGTGTGTGGGTGTGTGTGTGTGCGTGTTTGATTTATATGCCACTCATCCCAACTAATGTTTGGGGTGGCTTACAATAAAAGAACAGAATAACTTACAAACAGGGGAGCAACAAGAGAACACAAAAGCTTAAAAGGGAATTAGAATATCAGCATAAAACAGAGACGCCCAAACAATATCTCAGTCTAGCTTAAAGTCTGCCCACATAGGAAGGGCTTGTAGTGCTTCTGTCCGGCTCTGGCGGGTCTCAAGAGGGGGGGAGTTCCTGAGCTGAGGAGCAACTGGAAGAAACAACCTCTCATACATTTTCACCAAGCAAACTTGGGCTATTGATGGTACTTGCAGAAGGTTGCTCTTGGCTGACTTTAGGGTTCACAGTCAGGGCTGGACACAGGAATGGGCAAACCGGGCAGCAGCCTGGGGCCCGGACAAAAAGGGAACCCGAAAATTGTAATTTTTATTATTATTATCATTATCTCTGGCAAAGGGGGGCCCGCTACTAAAAGTTCACCCGTGGCCGCTGGGAGTCTAGGTACAGTGCTGATCACAGTGGGGCATAAGGAAGAAAGTGGCCCCTTAGGTAAGTACAGCCAGACTCTTTAGGGCTGTATAGGTCAAAAACAGCATGATGAATTGTGCCTTGAAAGCTTTTGGGTACCAATCCAGACTCAGATCCAAGTGCAGCAGAGGATCCAAGAGCGCCCAAAGGCTGCAAACCTGAGTGGCAAGGGAAGACTGACCCTCATCAATGACAGATGCCCCAATCCCCCCACATCAAGTGATCTGCCCACCACCATCACCTCTGTCTTGTCTGGATTCAGTTTTAATTGGTTTTCCTGCCTCCAGTCCCCAACTGGGGTCCTCATCCTCCTCCTCTTCCTCCTCCTCCTCCTCGGTGGAAAAGACAATCACCTCCTCATAGGCCTCTGGTACCTGAAATAAGCATCTTCCACTCATTACCTGCCCCCACAGCATCAGCTCAGCCACAGGCACAGTATGAATGGATCTCACTGCCCTTAGGCACAGTCAAGAAGCAGGCACTCTCCAGCACAGCCCCCCTCCCCCTCACCCCATCAGCTCTTGGACAATCACTTACCTGAGCCAGCTTGGCTGCAGCCATTTCCTCTCCCTGAGCCCTGGGAGGATGGGATGACCAGGAGTGGGTCATGAAGGTCCCTCTACAGCCTGTCAGGGCAAGGAAAACCAGCATGGGCTGTCATCAGCTTTGCACCTAGCTCCCCCCAGCCCCACAAGGCTCTCTCCCTGCAGGCAGAAGCTCTAGTCTGCAACTTTGGGAAAATACTTGATCCCTGCATTACAGCACAGACCTGATCCCTCCCACCAGGATTAAACCCACCCAACATTTTACCTCCCCTCCCCTGCAGTATCCCCCTCCCAGAGCCAGAAAAAAGCAGCATGAAGCTCCTCAACACTGTCCCAAAGGGCAGCTGCTTCCCTCAGCAGCACAAGGACCAGGCAGGAGCAGGGACTGGCTCTTCCTCTCTCTGCTCCTCACCTTGGTCACAGGACAGTCTGGGCAGGACTGGAGCAGGTCACCTCCCTCCCCAGTGACTGCTCCTGCTGTCTCGTCCAGTCTATCTCTCCCAGTTTCTGTCTTCTTCCACTTCTTGGACTCCACATCTCATTCTTGCAACCAGAATAGCTCCTGCCTGTGCTCCCAGGAGTGAGAGTCTGTGTCAGCAAGGGCAGCAGCTCTGGGACTTGCAAACCCCAGGGAGCAGAGATGGATTCAGAGGGGCCATGTGTGCAGAGAGCCCCTGTCCTGCCAGTTCCCAGCACTTTCCCCAATGTCTCTCTCCTTTACCTGGAGTCCCCAGCTCAGGAGTTGGTGTCAGAAGTTGGCTGCCCTGGGGGGCTGCTTCCAGCCGCCAGCAAATGTCAGCATCTCCCACCACAGATCCTTCTGGGGCAGCAACAGCTTCTCATCCTGAGCTCCCTGCTCACAATGGAGGCAGCAGCAGCACAAGCATCTGATTCAGGAAGCTCCACTCTTCCCCCCTTAACCCCATGCTGACCAGAGACAGAGAACACAGGTCCCCTCCCATAGCAATAACCACATCCCTCTGGTGGCAGCAGGCAATGTGGTCCCACCCCTGAGCTCTCCCCCCCTCCGTGCCTAGAGCTGGTGTGTGCAGGAGGTGGGGAGCCTGCCCTCCCCCAGGTAATATGTCCTGAGAAATGAAGGCAGGGAGGACCCAGCCTTTACCTGGACCCATGTCCAGGCTACACAGATATGACAGGGGCAGTGGTGAGGCAGGCATTGGGTGATGCCCAGGATCATTGTGCTGGGCAGAGAGGTCTGAGACAGCTGCAGAGTTGCCAGTGTTGGGATTTTATTGTGAATCCAACAAGATTCGGGAGTTTACATTTTCCTACATTGTGAGATTACCAGCACCAAACCCGCGAGTTCACCCTTTGCTAAAGCAGCCACTGTTTCCCTTCCCATCCTGCAAAGTTGAATCCAAGCTGCTCTTCAGTGTAGAGCTGCCCTCCAGTCTCTCCTGCCTTTGCCCCTGGAGGAGGGGTTGCCCCTTGCAAAGATTTCTGCCATCTCTTGCTGTTTTCACTTGAACTGCTGCTAGGCTGCCCACAGAAGTGATGACAGGGGGGAAAGAAGTGGTAAAGCAGCCACGGGGCAAATGTAAATCTAGCCCCACTAAATTAATATTTTTTTTAAAAGACTGCTATTTCATATTCTTAAATTAGGAGAAAAAATCGTGTGGTGACTTTTTTTTGTTCAGTGTCCCTTATGAACATTTTAACAATGTAAAACAAACAAAGAAGAAAATTCCCAAATTAAAAACAAAGTTAAATTGCAGTTAAGTGTGTGCATATAAGTAACTTCAGTATAAAACACTAAAGGGATGTTGTACGTACACCAAAAGTTCATATTACAAAACCAGGATGCTCAAAATGAAGGTTAATTTTACAGAAATCCCAGTATGATATGGTATGGAAATATGCAGTTAAGGTACCCATGCAACCTTAACTCTGCCCTATATGAGGGCACATGCTGTGAAAGAAATCTGAAAGTCAGCTGTCTTCAAAAATATATGTCATTTGATCGGGGACTATAAAGCCTTTCTGCTGAAATTAGTTATAGTGTTATGATCTAGCATCACTCCAGGATGGAGTGAAGATTATTCTGAGGCTAATTAGAACTGCTGTATTATAATATTACTTGTTTAGTTACAATTATATCAACTCCTTCAATTAATTGTTTAGTTACAATTATATCAAATTATACCAAAATCCCTTGGGAAGTGCAATGAAGTCTTCTGTTTTGGCTGTCTCAGAACTACTTCATTTTCAGATAATTGGCTATCTTTGCTTTTGTTCTTCATGACTGTAAAGCTGAAAAATGTTTCACTACAGAAAATTCCCTGAAGCCTGACCTTGCAAAATGGTGTGATCTCTTTATTGTTCTCACTAGATTGAGCCTATGAGGCTAGAGCCATTGCTTTTTCCTGAGGGCAATAAGGCTTCATTTCCATTAGGAACAATGGGGGACTGTGGCCATTTTGAAAGAGGGCATCTCTTCTCAGAGCACCTTCTCATCAGGGTACATGTACCCTAAGAGACATTTTGCTGGGCCCAGTCTAAGCATAGAAAAGAGAGGATATCCCAAAAGGCTTATCTTCTAGCTTCACCTCTAATTTGCAGATTCTAACCTTACTAATATTGTTTTTCATAATCAAGGAAGTTTATTACATAATTTGACTCTATCTCAATGCACTGAGAAGTCCCAGATGCTTAGGTACATTGTTTCACATTAATTACCAGAATTTCCCTTTTTCCTTGTGGTTATATGTCCACCAGAACTACGGCATGGTATTGCATACAGATGAGAGAGTCTTCTTCAGTTTTCAGCCATTCAGTGAGTCTAATACAAATCCAACATCACCGTGCAAAGTACAGGGAGCTAACAGCATAGTGCAATGAGAGGGTTTTGTAGGGTGCAAGGCTGGGAGAGGGAAATGGCTCAAAGACATGGCATTAGTGGTAGGGTTCTTCATCCTTGGCTCCCAAGTTCGGGTTTCCAATCCGTGCATCATTCTTGCAGCTGTCCTTGGACTCTCAGCAATTTTCCAATCGCCTTTTCAAAGTGGGGATACCAAGGCAGAGCCCAGGCTCCCAGAAGAGGTGCCACCAGTGCTATGTGTAGAGGCAATAGGACTTCCACTTCATACTGCCAAATTTGTATATCCCAGAATAGAGGTAGCACTCTTACTCACAGCATCACATGAGAAGCTCATATGGAGCTGGTTATCTACCAACAGCCTCTAAACCTGTTATAGACTAAAAGTCAAACCATTCTGGTAAACTAGGTGCCTAAATAGAGTTGAGGCAGAATTTCGGTACCTAAGTTGCAAGAAGTGATCATTGTTAGGGAGACCAAGGATTTTGGAGCTGAGTGCTGAGAGCAGCTGCAGAGAAGGGCAGCAGTTCAGCCACACCTATGCTGGGTCTAGGTAGCTCCCTGCTCAGTCTCACGTGGTCTAGTGGTTGGAAGTGTCCAGCTCTCCCCATTAACTGTATAGGGAGCCCAGGCATTTAACCCTTTTTTTGTGGCTCACTCTGCTGAAGCCAAGCACCTTATTTTAGCACACCAAAGCTGAACTTGGAGACACATAATGAGCTGGATTGTAACTGTTTTTCCTGTCTGATGGAAGCTCTTCAGTCTTCTCCCTTGCTTACTCTGAGGGCCTTATGGCTAAGGGCAAGCAAAACTCAGGGGCATCCAAACCCCAAGCCTCTGGGCTTGGGCCTGCAAGTAGGATGCCCGCCAAAGGATTTGGAAACATCTGAAGCCCCAGGTGTGGGTGGAGGATGTTTGCTGGTCGTAGGGCCACTTGTGGTTCTGGACTCTTGGGTTTGGAATTAGTTTTGGCTAATTTGGCCTTGGTTACAAATTTTTGTCTAAAAAAAAGCTCTTCAGATAGAGAAAACCATAGCAATAGTGAGTCACTGCTGTTCAGGGGAACAGGGGTAGCTGAAGCAGCTGTAAGTCTCCTTCCAGAGCGCATCATGTCTCCACCAGGGTACACTGCCACCATAGTGTGGCAGCAACCTCAGGGTATGGACAAGGGCTGGGTCTGATGACTTGGAGAGGTGGAGAAGGCACAACCTGCCTTGGCAGTCTGCTCCCCCTTGATTAAAGAGCCTCAAACCCTGGCCCTAAACAGGCAGCCTCCACCCCCTCACAACACCCTTCCGCCAACACACATCCTCCTGTAAGGCCCAGTGGTTACAAACACTCCCTCAATGGTGGAACTGTAAAGATGTGTTTTGGATTGTCAAGTGAACCACAGCAGTCACAAGGCAGGTTGGTAGAGGTATAGTGATATGCATAGTGAGATTTATAGTGAGATATGTGTTTGTTTTTGCCAAAAAAAAAAAAATCTGGGAGATTTTGATTTGCCATCAACGTCTGCATTGGGACCCAAACTCCAATTCCCAGCTGCAGCTGGGTCAGTCACACCCCCTCCCTCTGTAGCAGGGACTGCTCTTTCTCTTAAGTGCACAACAGCACTTGCCCATCACTTCCCACCTGACGTTTCCCTTTCTCCCTCTCCCTTGCTCCCACAGTGGGTACTCAAGGACCCTAAAACAAACCTGGCAGAATGGGCTTCTGCTTCCTTCCCTATATCCCTCTGTCTCCTCCTACTCCCTCTGGCAGTCCCCACACTTACCCATTCCCCTGTCTCCCTGGCAGTTCCAGCACTGCCAAACAGATTTGTGGATGTGCCAAAAGCTGCCTGCCTTCTACAAATCAAGGTGTCTCACGCGCATGGTTGCAGACCAGAGCATGGCTGTGTAACAGCTCAAGACCCAGGTGGCAAATAAAACCAGCTCTGTGTGAGATGGCTTTAAAATCTTACAATTAAGCCATTCATTTGATTGTTTTAATAATTCTGGAAACAATATTATAACTCCTGACCCTCCTCCCCACTCTCTGGGGGGCTGGAGCAGTCCATGTGGTAGGCTCCAACCTTCAAAGAGGCAGAGAACAAGCTGTGGGAGGGAGGGATTTGGAGCAGGCACTGGGAAGTCAGTCTGTGGCTTCAGTGCTGCGCTGCAGTTATGAATCCTTCCCTT